GGCTGCTGCCCCGTGTGCAGCCTCACGTGATCCCTGAAGGACGACGCCGTGGAGAAAACCTTCTCGCAGATGGAGCAGGAGTACAGGTTCTGTCCCGTGTGGGTTTTCTGGTGGTCGACGAGCCCCGTCCTGGAGGCGAAGCTCTTGGGGCACAGCGAGCAGAGGAACGGCCTTTCTCCGGTGTGAGTGCGCTCGTGCTGGACGAGGTGGCGCCGCTGGACGAATCCTCTCCCGCACACCGAGCAGCAGTGGGGTTTCTCTGCGGCGTGGCTGAGCCGGTGACGCCGCAGGCAGCTGAGCTGGGCGTAGCTGACGCCGCAGTCGGGGCAGGAATACGGCTTCTCTCCGGTGTGAACCCGCTGGTGGACCGCCACGTTTATCTTCTTTGTGAAGCGTTTGCTGCACAGCGAGCAGCTGTACGGCTTCTCGCCCGTGTGGGCGGTCATGTGATCGACCAGGCGGGAGGGACGCGAAAACTCCCGGCCGCATACCGAGCACCGGTGGCAGCGCTTTGCCCGGTGAGCGCCGTCTGAAGCCGGTTCATCTGGTACAGAGAGACTCTGCACACCTGGGTTGAGCCCCGCCCCTGCAGGACACAAATACATAAATGTATTAAAATAAAATCACGTTTTAAAGGATTTCCTTTAACTTTCAATATGAATCACGTGAAGATCAATCAAGAGCAGAGGTAGAGGAGGCTGGGCAGACGCTCCCCCCGTAACTCTGACACTTAAATAACCCAACGAGGGTCCCTAACCTTGAGCAGGGAGCTGCTGACAGTCCTCTCCTGTTTCCTCAGGCTCCTCCTTCACTCCATTCATCTCCTCATGCTCTCCTCCTCCTCAGTGTTGATGCGTCTCCGTCAGGCTTCTGAAATAATAATGATGGATTGCATTTATAGAGCTTTACAATTCCACTATTCATTCACACACTGGTGGAGCAGCTACAGGTGTAGCCACAGCTGCCCTGGGGCAGACTGACAGAAGCGAGGCTGCCATATCGCGCCATCGGCCCCTCTGGCCATCACCAGGAGGCGGCAGGTGAAGTGTCTTGCCCAAGGACACAACGACCAGGACAGACAGAGCTGGGGATTGAACCAGCAACCTTCCGGTCCCTGAACCACATTCGCCCCAACCAATAAACACTTGTACACATACTTCCTGCTCACGGTGAAAGCACCACAGAGTGTTAGTGTGCAGACGTACCTGAAGCCTGGTTGGTTTCCTCTGAGACGAGCCGCATGAAGCCGTCGTCGCCCGGCTGGAGTGAGTCCTCACACTGAGACAGAAGCAAACATGAATCAACTTTAACCGTTCGTCAGCGTGCTGCGTCTGCGACACCGCTCTGTCCTGATGACACGCCGATGAGCCAACGTGGCTCACCATCATCAGGCCTCGGCGCTCCACGCTGACGGATGTTTCACCGATCGATCGCTTTGAATCAGCTAGATCGATACACCGCAACCCCGCCTCCTCTCCATTTGCACACAGCATCACTCAGCTTAACTTCATCATCCTCCGGACCTCTCCACGTATCACTGGACGCCTCCTCCCCACAGACCACAACCCTACTGGTGGCCACTTCTCCAACAGAAGGGAAACAAGAATTTAACCTTTATCTGTTCAAATCATGGTCAGTATGTGCGAGGTGGTCAGGAGGTCCAAAAGTGAGTCTGCAGCCATCTGTGAGACATGGTGGAGGCTCTGCCGTGGTTTCAGCTGCATGTTAGCCAGCGGTGTTGGAGAGCTTTGATCAAACTGATCAAGTATGATCATCAGTTTGATCCACCATGCAGGAACATCTAGAAACATCTGATTGGAGGCAGATCTGGATAGAAACACATGCAGTGGATCACCACAGGCAGTTTTAGACTCAGATCAATTGTGGGATTAAGTACTGAACAGTCGACGGCACCGCATGCTGCCCCCTGTGGGTCACAGGGAGCTGTGCTGAGATAAAGAAACATCGGTGCATTTGTAAGAACTCTGTTATTATAACGTTACAGGACACTGTGTCAGTGCTAGAGGACGAAAGAGACTGAACAGAAAATGTGAATGTACGTTTAAGCTTCAAGCTATTAAAAAGTCACTTTATAACAAAATAAATACAAAACAACAAAGTAAACTTTGTTCAAATGTGCATCGTCCACATGAACAGTATGTTTGAAATCCATTTGTATGTTTTATTTTTAAATGTTCAATTAATTTTGTTTGTGCTCCAAATAAATTAGAAATTGCCCTGTTTTCTTGTTCTGTGCCCACCCTGAGCCCCAGGTGTGGGACCGTCACTGTGGAACACCATGAGTCATGGATGGGCCTCCCCAGAGCCCGGACCCCTGCAGCAGTGTGGGATCCTCCTGACAGGCAACAGAACAACAGGCAGGAACATCCAAAGCAGCAGCTGGAGAGCTGCTGGAGGAAGCTTCCCGTGGTTCCGTCTATGTTTGCACATATTTCACATTTTCATCACAGAACATAAAGAAATGAGGTGGCTCAAGACTTTTGCACAGTGCTGTGTGTCTTTGTCTGCTCTCACTGTCATTTCTTCTTCCTTTACCGCACTGTGAGCATTAAAGTGCGTGTTCGGAGCTTCCTGATCACACAGACAGCAGCTCGGAGCTCACGCTGATGGTTTTTGGTGCTTTAACTCGGAGCATCAAACGGACAGCCAGCTAGCCCATCAGCTAGCCTAGGAGCTAGCCCGCTATGTTAACGTAAAGCGTTCAGAGAGAAGCCCGGAGCTTCAAACACACTCGTCCGTACAGAATGGGCAAAGAAACGCCCGAAAAAGGATCTAAACCCGACGGTGTTACAGGAGGATCCCTGACAGCAGAGCGGCTGATGCTTAGCTGTGAGTGCGGCTAGCGCATGCTAACGCTAATTAGCTGTGATGGAGGCGGAGCGCCGGTTTAAAGGCTTCACAGCCGCCTTTGGCGAGCTAACCCGCAGGTGTACGGATGAAGCTCTCACCTGTCTGTCAGGAGCACTCACACCGACTCCAGGAGAACTGAAAACCAGGGAATGTTTTTAAAAAATGAAAAGAGCCAGACAGCAGGTGAGTCCCAACTGAACCTAACTCAGTGCTGCCGCCGCTGGCCGGGAAGGGAACTACAACAACACTGCAGCGAGAGGCGGGCGTCCGCGTGCGTTCACGCACACTTGAGGTGACACAAAAGGAGCCAGATGTTTCCATCTACGTCATCACACTTCACCTCAGCCTCACCAACATCTGCAGCACCTTCACAGTCACCTTTGAACTCTGCAGGTGAGACTGGAGGTAACTCACCTGGAGCTCATGGACAGGTTATCACACAGGTCAAGCCAAGGACTTTATTTTATTCTTCCTCCCACATGAAGGCAAACTGAATATTTGAGCTTATTTGAGCTTAATTCTACAAATTTATTTAGACTCCATTATGGCGAATGACTGAAATCTGCCGCCGCACCACAAATTAGAGCTCAGTTAAACTTCAGACGTCAGCGTCACTGTGGCCTCAGAGAAACTGTGATTACATCACAAAGAGGAGGAGGAACCTGCAAATGAACTGTGTGCACCAAATTTCATAAATATGCAACACGGCGGCGAGGCTGCCTCTGTGAAAGGCGGCGCTGCCTGTTTTTTAGGGACTTCCCTCTGAAATGTGACCTCGACACGCGCTGTAAACAAACACCAACTCAAACTGAAGTGACGACAACAACAGTGTGTTTTTTTTAGGATGAACAGGAAGTGTCTTTAATTCTGGACACTGACAGCAGATCATCACAAACATGGAGCTGAGTGAAGCTCAGGACCGTCGCCGCCGCTGGCAGGAGGTCACCACACACACACACCTTGCACCCCTCCCCCCACAGTCAGTCTACTGCTTCTTCTTCACCACGTGAGCGCAGTCATATTTGCCCCGCACCACGGTGAGTTTCACCCCGGGCAAGTCCTGCGTCCGACCCCCCTGCACCAGCACCACGTTGTGCTCCTGCAGGTTGTGCCCCTCCCCGGGAATGAACACCACCGCCTCCTTCCCGTTGGACAGCCGCACGCGGGCGCACTTCCTGTTGGCGGAGTTGGGCTTCTTGGGCTTTCGGATCATCGTCTTCAGGATGACCGCCTTCAGCTGGGGGCGGCCAAACGTGGCTCCAACGGCTTTGGGAGGGACTTTGGGCTTCCCTTGGCGGTGCATCTGGTTGAGCGTGGCCATGGTCCTGGACAGGAGGGGGGCGGTCCACGCAGAGGCGTGCTGGGATGCTGCAGAGGGAGGGGTTTATGGTTAAACGCTGAAATAAAGTCGGCGCTTGTTCACCTGATGTCTGACACTCACCTTGAATCAGCGACGTCAGTGCCGGTCTCAGACTCCACAGAGACGCCATTCCTGAAACATCAGAGAACATCTGTCAGGAGACCGTCCTGACAACCATCAGCTGACACGCCCACATCAAACACTCGAGTATTGCAGTATTTCAGGTTGGTATTTTGGGCTGGGTCACCTGACCCCTCAGCGGGTCGCATCTTTTAACGTCAGCTCCGCCCAAACTTTTCATCAGCACTTTAAAATCAAACGTCCGCGACGCGTTTGGGACGACTCGTCACAGAACTCTGGCATTTGTTCAGGAAACAGAGCGGTCCTCGTCTTTGTCCGTCAGACGAGCGTTGGCGCAAAGCTCAGCTTGTGTCTCGTGTCATAAATCAAACAGCTCACTAACAGCTGGACTCGCTCATCGGCTGTGATACTTTACTTCGTCCCTGCGAGGTCAGTTTGGCTGTTATTACACGTCAGCACCTGTAACAGTACAAAAATATAAAAGTGCAGCTCTGCAGCTGTTAAACTGCAGAGCTGTGAAACACATTGTGTATAAAGGCTCATTTGCATCATGGAGCCCCGCTCTCTAAGACTGACACAACTCTGTGTGTGAAGCTGGATTTAAGAAATAATGCTTTATAAAGTTGTTAACAGCATGTTTGCAGCCAGCTCGCTTCAGTACAGGTGGTGTTGGTCACAGCTACAACAGTTTCTGTAACTGACCTCAGGTCAGCAGGAAGCGTGTGCCGAGAACAGCGCCACAGTAACCAGAAGCATCCTCAGCTCTGAGATCTGATCTGGGCACAAAGACCAGCAGCTGGTGACTGACAGGTGTGACTTATGGTGGTGACTCGGAGAACAAGCCGCTAAGAGCTTTATGAGCTGATGGAAACCATTTTAAAAGGTGACTGTGCAGAACTGGGAGCCAGTGACGTGTTACCATAATCCAGTGGTTCCCAAACTTTTTTTGCTGGGCCCCCCTTGTTTTACAAGAAAAATGTTCGCGCCCCCCCTCGCGCACGCACGCACGAACACATCCTCCAACCACACACACCCATATTTTGCTCCATTGCGGTTTATTTCACACCTCAAACATTTAGTAAACAATTAAGCAAATACAAGTAAT